ACTTTATTGCCAAGCATTCTTGAATGCACTCTCTTCCAAATAAAGTCTGTTTCTTTTTTGAAGATAATTCCCAAGTCAAAAATTCACTACCAATGTTGGCAACACAAGCTCTTTCTAGATAAAAAATTTGAAAGCATTGACAATTTTACATTGTATCGCCAACATAATGTAAGTGTGACTTTTATCTTTGAAAAAAAAACAATATTTACCATTTGAAAAAATGTATTTCCTACCTTATAATAAAAAAAAAACAACATTCTCCTAATAAAAAAAAAAAACAACATTCTCAAAATTAAATGAAAAAACTTTTCCAACAAGTGATGTAATTAATTTTCAAAATGACTACCCCCATTCCTTATGCAATCACGAGCCCGTCTTCTTACTTCTGTCCTGGTTACTCGATTTGAAAAGTTCTGTCGCAATATCGCAACCCCATTCTGTATCCTTTCAATCAGTTCTTCGCGCGTATTTACCTCCGTGGCATATACGATTTCTTTCAGGTGCCCCCATACATAAAAATCTAATGGAGTTAAATCAGGGCTCCTAGCAGGCCATGGAATGGGTCCACCCCTTCCAATCCATCTATTCGGAAACCTTTGCTCTAAGAGTTCCCGTATTGTAAGACGATAATGTGCAGGACATCCGTCATGCTGGAAGATCATCTCTTGCCTGTTCGCTAGAGGGACATTTTCTAGTAGCTCATACAAGTTGTTACGTAAAAATTCTTCATAATTTTCACCGTTAAGGTTATCCGGTAAAAAATGAGGTCCAATTAAATTATTGGCGATAACTCCCATCCATACATTGACACTAAATTTTCTTTGGAAACTAACTTGCTTCTTCTGATGCGGATTATCTTCGGCCCAGTAGTGCAAATTATGAAAATTTGTTATTCCTTCTCTGCTAAATTTTGATTCATCGGTCCATAAAATTCTTGTTAAAAATGAAGCATCCTCAATATCCGCATGGAGAATAAATCTGCAGAATTGAACTCTGCGCGCCGGATCACCCTCGTCTAGTCCTTGCACAGGAGTGTGATGAAATGGGTGAAGACCATTTTGATGAATCACTGACCAGACCTTCCATTGTGAAACACCCAGCTGTCGGGAAATTTTTCTGGTGCTTGTTGTTGGACCTTCTTCAAGTAGTCTCAAAATTTCACCATCAATGTTAACGTCTGCAGGAGGAGCTCCTACGCGTTCTACTCGTTGAAGGCTGCCAGATTCTGAAATGCGACGGTAAGTTGCACCAAACACACTAACATGTGGAATGCGCCTATTTGGGAAGCGACGTACATATTCTCTTTGAGCTTCAGCTGCATTTCCATTGGAAAAACCATAAATAAATAAAATGTCCGCATATTCAGCATAGCTAAACGTTGCCATTTTAGATAGAAGTTAACAGCGAAAGACTATCATCAGAACTATTTAAATCAAAACTTTGGACGAAAAACTGAAACTAAATTTTGTTATTGTTTATTATTATTAATTCAAAAAATGGAAAAATGCGTATGGTATACCTGTTGATAAATATCAACATGATTGGCGAGTATCACACCAAATTGCAATAAGAAAAGACTGGAAAATAATGTTGCTTACTTAGTCTGAACTTACAATTCTTCTAAATGCGAGAATAAAATCGTTACTCCTACAAATGAAAATTATGAAATCAACAATAAAACAACCTTATTTTAAAGACAATAAAATAGAGAATTTTTAACAATCATTTGTACGTTTGGTGGACTAAAGTGCGTTTTTTTTTTTAAAGATAAAAGTCAAACTGACATTATGTTGGCAATACAATGTAAAATTGTCAATGCTTTCAAATTTTTCATGTAGAAAAGGCTTGTGTTGCCAACATAGTTACTAAATTTTTGACTTGGGGAATTATCTTTTAAAAAAAAACACACTTTATGAAGTTTTCGAAATTTTTCAGCATAAAGAAACCATTAATTCGCAGAATTCAGTTCTGCAGATTTATTCTGAATTCGGATGTTGAGGATGCTACAATATTAGAGAAGGAATAACAAATTTTGATTTTTTACCTGATAACCTTAACGGTGAAAATTATGAAGAATTTTCACGTAACAACTTGTATGAGCTACTACAAGATGTCCCTTTAGCGAACAGGCAAACAGATGATCTTCCAGCTTGACGGATGTCCTGCACACTATCGTCTAACAATAAGGGCACTCTTAGACCAAAGGATTCCGAATAGATGGATTGGAAGAGGTGGACCCATACCATGGCCTGTTAGGAGCCCTGATTTAACTCCTGTTGCGATATTGCGACAGAACTTTTCAAATCGAGTAACCAGGACAGAAATACGAAGACGGGCTCGTAATTGCATAAGGAATGGGGTTAGTCATTTTGAAAATTAATGAGTTATTGATTAAATTGTATCAAAAAGTTTTTCCATTTCATTTTGAGAATGTTGTTTTTTTTATTATGATAGGAAATACATTTTTTCAAATGGTAATTATTGTTTTATTATGGAACGAAAAAATTAGGTGCCAATTGTGAACTATTTGAAAGAGAATGCATTCAACAATGCTTGGCCATAGAGTGCCAGTAATTTATTATGAAAATTTCAAAATTTTCAAGCAGAAAATAATAATTACTTCTTTACTAAAAACTATTACTATTAGCTACTAAAAAATTTGATAAAATTTTTATTGCAACACTTGATATCCAAAACAGGTATAAATTAGAATTCTGTTGAAAATTATATCGTCTCTCCTTAAAATAAAAATAATTTATTTAACAAGAAAGCAAAAAGCTAATTCTGAAATAATGTACCTTATCTTGGAGACAATAAAATGGAGTACTTTTGCCAATTATTTGTACGTTTGAAGTACTATGAAATTTTCGATATTTTTAGGGTTAAATAAGTCATTAGTTAGAAACTTAACAAGAAAAGTTAAGTTTAAACCGCAATAACTCAATAGTTAACATTAGTGTTTCGATAATTTTCAATGCTGATATTTTTGTCAGTGTGTCAGCTTAAAATTTAAAACACGGCTTTCAGAAAGGTCCTTATTATTTTCGTTAATTTTAAATATTTGCCTCATAAGGTAGTGAATTTTATAAAAATTAGAAAAATGAAAATATCGCGAAAACCGTTAAGAATGGTATAGAGGTAAATAGTGTTTAATCGGTAGCAAATAGGCTCTAATGTCATCTCCTCAAAGGAATACGTCCACTTACCAGTCACCCTGTATTTGACAGTTATAACAATTACCCCAACTTAATTTTCTCCATCGACGAAAAGAAAATCGATGCAGCTTTCATGAAAAAGATGAAGACATATACCAATATCTTTAAGTATTCTTATGAATGAACTTATTTTTGAAATATTTATGAGTTTTGACAGTGAAAAGCATAAGATTTAAAAAGTACAGGTATACCTACCCAAGCAGATTTTCCCAAATCAACACAAGCTATGTGTATAGGTGACCCATTATAAATTTTATTTATCCCATTTTTTAAGTAGACGTTTATCACCTCAGTGATTTAAAAAAAAATGTAACTCACTCTCGGCATTTGAAATCATCTCTGCCTCGTACTCTGCCCTGTGATTTAAAATATTTTTAACTCACTCGTGGCATTTTTCCTTGTACTTTATTTTTTAAATATCCACAAAATGGGATAATAGTTATTTATACACCAAGTGAGTTAAATGAATGTTTATTCATGAAAAGAAAGTTTAACCCACAAGCTCTAGCGAGTGGGTTAATTTTTTTCGAATGAATAAACATTTTAACTCACGTGATTTATACAAAATTTTATCCCATTTTGATGGACATTGAAAAAATAAGGTTCTTAATAGGAATCAAATTATAAACAGAATTCATTTAGTAGTTATAAAAGCGCTTATTATTGAAATTGGTGGTTGCTAAGGTATAACTAGTTGTTTGTTTGTATTTGTAGCAGATTTTTATACTGGCAGAGTGACTTAAAAGACCGAGAGTGAGTTAAAAATATTTTAAGTCACTCAGGTGATAAACGTCTACTTACCTTTGTTATTATGCGTTCAATAATGTCATTTTTAAACGTCAAAATGGGATAAAATCTTGTTTACATCGCGTGAGTTAAAATGTTTATTCATTCGAAAAAAATTAACCCACTCGCTAGGGCTCGTGGGTTAAACTTTCTTCTCATAGATAAACATTCATTTAACTCACTTGGTGTATAAATAACTATTAATACATTTATCGATAGTAATATCTGAAATACATTTGACGAATTCTGAAATACAATTTACGATTTCTGATCTACAAATAAATAATCTGAAACATAAATGACGTTTTCTGGAATATAAGTGACCAAACTGAAATACAAATGACTTTTTCTGAAATACAACTGATGAAACTAAAACACAAATGACGTTTTCTGAACTACAACTGACAAAGTGGAAATACAAATAACATTTTCTGAAATTGAACTTAGACAACTGAAATACAATTGACGCATTCTGAACTAGAATTGATGAATCTGAAATATAAGTGATACATTCTGAAACACTTCAAGCGATGTTTCATTTCGCCGTCAAGGATTGCATTTGCTGCCAGATGGCTTCCAAGGCGTGGATAGTGTTCTACGTTCTGCAAGGAGTGGTCATTTATAGTTATGATTGGGGCTTGGCGATCAGTGCCCGGGGCGGGTTGGTGCAGTATCTGCGTCTTGTTAACGTTGACCTCTAGGCCGATTCTCTTGTATGCCTGGTTGAATGCATTGATAATTGCCTGAAGACGTAATTAGGCGCTAAATAAAAGCCAACTATTTTTTTTTTCAAATCTCTTGTTAATAGTTTATAATTATAAAAAATATAATTTTGTAGTATCCTTCGTAGACACACATTCCTCATTTAAAAAGCAGATTTTAAATTCAAGAATCATATTATACAAATACATAAATGACATAATAAAATAATTAGTTATTTTTAAAGAGTTATACTTATATTTTGTATTTTTTGATTTAATTCCCATATTTTCTTTGCAGAACAAAATCAACATCGCTGATGACGTGCCCAAATATCTACAAAGCGAAATAAAACTAGTGACCACACAATGTGCCATCCTGGAAATGGAAAGTTTAGGTCAAAAATTAGCAGGTGCTCTTTTAATATTGAAAAATTATATTGTACATAAATGTGGACACGAAGGCAAACCTTTACCAGGCTCCAGATGTATCTTATCAATGGTCTGCAAAGACAATCCCAGCCATTATATTGTGTGCACTCAAGATAGGGATTTGCAAGAGAAATTACGAAATCTAGCTGGAGTTCCTTTGTTATATTTGCACTCGAAAACGCCAGTTTTGGAGCCACCATCTCCAGCAACAGTGAAAAGAGCTGAAGAAAAAATTTCAGGCCTGGTACAATCTGAAGTTGAAAAAATAAATAAACTAAAAATGGAAGAAGGTATTAAGATAGAGGAGCAAAAATTTAAAAAACGAAAGAAGAAAGGTGCAAATCCACTTTCATGCAAAAAGAAGCAAAAGAAAACTCAAAATAGTCCCATACAGAAAAAAGAATCTAGGCCTGAAATGGAAAAAAAGAAAAGGAAAAAGGTTAGAATACCACAGCATGTAAAAGAGGAGATATTGAAAAGGACTTTTAATAAAATAAATGAAGGGGCTAATATCTAATTTTTGTTGGTTGTTGTAATAACTACTTCTAGTGACTTTAATAAAAGAGTGGATAGGCTTATACTTTCGAGATTGGTTTATTTTGCTTTTTTTCATAACTATTATCTATAATTTCATGTTTCTCACATGATGGCCGAACAGGAAAAGAGGAGCCTTGCACCCTCACATTCATTGATAGCTATGGATAATTATCGTGCATGGCCAAGGAAGGCCATGCTACGAGGTACGTCTGTTAATAACTGACTGTGAATAATGTTGTAATGCCAGTTGTAAATGAAAATCTTTCAGTTATATTTTATTTTTATTTTTCTTGTTTATATTATATTCACTGTGGTTACACAGATTTCTAAAATCTACTACTATACATGTTTCTTACAATTTTCAATCTACTTCCATCTTACAATCAACTGCTACTACACTTTAATAGACCCGTTAATAAATTATTAAAATTACTACTATAGGATAATATACATTATAATAGTTCTAAATACATCTCGTTATATATGTTTTAATGTACAATAACATCACATAAAAATCATGTAAAATTATACCAAAAAATCACAATTCAGTCATAAATGAGCGAGTGTTCGTGGATATTTTATTCCATCATTATAATATGCATTTTTGAAAAATCATTTACTGGAATATTTTAGCTACTTTTCATGGTGCCAATAAATCTTATGCAATTTGTTTGTCACGCAGGCAAAATATAGGAAATTGTATAATTAAAATTACTTGGTGTCATATTCACTGTAAAAAACTCTAGAGAAAGGTTTAAATCCAGTATTTTTGCTTTTTAGAAATTATTCTGGATATAAACAATTCGTATAGAAAAACAATCAACAGTCTTTCAGTTGTATTGTCAGAAATTCAAGACAAAGGAAACATTTTTCGTTAAATTGTTTTTATAAAAAAAAACCTAATTGCTATTTATTACAAAAATTTAAAGCTTTTTAGTTAATTACACTATTCATTAACTTTTTCCCTATCGAAAATCGAGTTTTATAGTTCCAGAAGACATAATAAATCAAAAAATAAATAATTGGAACTTGTGTTGAAGCCTCTGATTGGTATTGACTTAATGATGTGACGAATAGTAGTTTGGCCGAATAACCGAATACCAAATATTTGGCTGAATTTGAACCGAATATTCGGCCGAATACCGAATAGTTATTAAAGCATGTCAGAGTTCAAATATTATAGTGAAATAGCCTTTTTTAATAAGGAATTTGATCACTCCAATCGCAAAAACGATATTGCAATTGAGTTAGTTAGTTATCGGGTGAAATTTTAAACAAAAACCATTGTCCATTTTCTTGGTATGGAAGAAATACTGTTTAAAATATCCAAAAATGAGGAAATATAAATGTGAATGACTAAGACAGAACACTGCTCCCCTGTTTCGAGAATAAGGGCCCAGAAGTTTGTATTTTAATTTTTTTTTTCGAATTGATATTAATTAAAAATACCTATGTAAAAATTCAGTAAAATATCCAAACATGAAATATTCGGTATTGAAAATCCAATATTCGGCCGAATAGCGAAAATAACGCCGAATAGGCCAAATACCGAATAATTATTCGGCTTCGGTCACATCTCTAGTATTGACTGATTTTTAATTTATTTTATATTTATCATTAATAAAAATTCTTGTAATTTGATTTATTTTAAAGTCTTCTGTACCTACATGCAAAATGTTTGATATGTTAAACTCATAATCACTAAACCATTTTGCAATAATTAATTGTAATATGCATATTCTACATTTATTTGTATTGACTACAAAATTACAACTAGATTTTTATTCAATGGTTTTACAAAAGTGGTCCGATTTTTGCTGAAGGCTCCCAATATTTTTTGTATGAATTAATTTTTGATTTAAATTGGTTTATATATTGATCAATGCGTTATGGTTGAAAATTGGGAAAATAAAATTAATCACCTATATTTCTTTACAAATGCCTATAGGTACTCTTAAGTTATTTTACTCATCAACAGTTATTTAACTTCAGTGTGATTTATAAAATTTATTTTTGGGCTCCAAATCAACTTCTAATTTACTTTACTATATAGAAGAGACCTTAATTTACAAATCCTGAAAGTTTGAAGTCAGTGTTTAAAAAAAAATCAAACAGCAACATGGAAAAAAATTCCAAATTTATTTCCAGGCCCCAAATCCACTTTTGATTTACTTTACTGTAATAATTCACAAATCCTGAAAGTTTAAAGCTACTATCATAATGGAAAGAATAATTTTCCATATGTGATTTTAGGAGATTATTCAAATATATTGTGGAGCCCAATTCTACTTTTCATCTACTATTACTTTTCATCTACTATTACTTTATAGAAGAGACATTAATAATTTATAAATCCTGAAAATTTTAAGTCACTGTGATGTAGGAAAGTATTCCTCAAAGTAGACTCAATAACTGTTGATGAGAAATCTAGATCAATTCAATTTGTAAAGCTCACAAGGAACTGATTCAAAAAATATAGATTATAGAGGTAAAGTGAATAAAGTGATCATTTTCTGTGTGAAAAATATATGTTTTTGACTTTTCCTACATTTATAATTATTACACTAGGTTTTATAACAAAAAAAATATAAAAGCATAGATGGCATTTTCTAGTTTTTAGCGAATCACTAATCAATATAATCCCTTGGCAGTGCTGAAACCGTGGTGTTAATATAATAATAATTATTCCCAAAGTGCTTTTCGAGGCAGTGTTTTTTGCTAATTAGTAAATGTTTTTTTTTAATCTGCCTATAAACGGGCTTTTTATAGAAAGAAAAATATAACTTTTATATTTTTACATAATTCGTTTTTGCAAGCTGCCTATAATAATCTAACGAATATAAATCTAACAGCATTAATATCACATAAAATAATTTGTTTTAGCAGCATCTTAATTGTTATTAATACTAAACCTCAGATTCGCTTTTAACATTACAATATTTCTCGGCCATCACTGTCAGTACTTGTTCGAACTTGCAATGCCTTTCTGGACCGTTTGCGCAAGCACCTCTACTTCCCCACAAAAATTTCAAATGAAATTCCGTCCTGAACATGTCCAGCGTTAATTCGTCCATTCTAGCTTCTCCCAAAACGATTTCGGCATTTCTTTGGTACATGTGGCGCATCTCCATATACTTCCTGGCCGATTGTAGATGATTCAGAAGAGTGGCGAGGCCAAAATCTTGCGTGCTAGATTCCCAAAGGCTCAAGCAGCTGCCGGCCAATTGACTTTGACCGGTGGGATTGAGGAAATCTTGCAAGTCGCGTTCCAAAAGTAGAATCAAAGGTAGCAGATGTGGTATTGTGGTGTTTGGAGCTTGCGGATTTGAGCAACTGTTCATATTTTTCAGAGTCGGCCGGAGTTTGGCTTCGAAATTGAAGGCAGAATCGGTGTATTTTTGACGGAGCATGTGCCACGTACTATCTAGTCTTTCAATCTGAAAACAACAAAAGAAAATTTTAAAGCAACTATGTATTTTGTTTCTCATATACCTAAGTTTAGGAAATCTCATGTAAGGAAAGAAAATCCCATGTGAAAACTTCATCTATTACTGATGAGGCAAAAAAGTAATCTTGATTATATTAGTCTAATTTATAATCTAATGAATAGAAAGCTTCCGGAAGACCTCTCCAATGTCGCTTTATAATTCTGGATATATAGGGACTGTAATAATTGTCGACCCAAATAACTTTCAAGTTTTGCCCTATTTGAAAAGGGAGGACGATAAGACTATGAAGACCCGGAATTAAATCCAGGGAGGAGCTTTTCCTGACGGTAATCTTTTGAGTGATTGACATTTTTTTTATATGAGAACTTGGGTGAAAAAAGATTTTAATTTTTTTGATTCAGATGGAAAATGTTAGAGTAGTAGTGAAATACAGTGTGCTACAATATTTCCAGCCTTTTATAGTTTCTATAGGCAAAAATCAAGTGTTAATTGGCCTTCTTTCCAAGTCTTTATCTCTGGGAAATACAAATTCCTTTAAATTGCCCTTGAATTAATCAAAAGGCAACTTTTAAAATCAAAATGATGCAATAATTTTACCTACAAAATCGTGATCCAGGACGTAGGTACGATGATCTTTCAAATTTTTGAAAGCAATTTTTACAATCTTTTTTTTTATATGCGGCAGTTGGAAATTGTTTTAAAATGCTCTTTTTATTTTTTAGGAATTTCAAAAAAAAATTCTCGTTGCAATTTCCAGCCTGCATATTTTCTATAGGCAAAAATCAAGAATACCTAGTTGACATTTTTTTCAGTCTCTATTTCTTTAAGCTATAAATTCCTATAATTCGACCTTGAATGAAGCAGTAAATTTACTTAAAAAGTCCTGATCCAGGATCCAGGTCTTGAGAAGTACTTTTAAACCTCATACTTAAACCAACTTTTTAATTTTTTTTTATTTGTATGTGGGACGTGTTAATTGCTTCAAAAGATTCTTAAACAGTTTTAAAAAAAATCTCATAGTAATTTCCAACTTTTATAGTTTCCATGGGCAAAAATCGAGAATAAATTGGCCCTCTTTCAAAATCTTTCACTCTGGAAGCTATAAATATGTAGCTACTGTAAAGCGAACTCATAAAACTAACACCATTTTGTATTTTTCCTATACTGCTAAAATATGATTAATATTGATTTTTCCCTTCGGTAATACGAAAGGACAGTTGTGATACCTACCGAGAAGGGACATTTTTATGATTTTATGACATGTTAGTCATAAAACTGTCCCTTGGTATTTTTCCTTTCCGTTGCAGAAAGGTGATTGTTGCAGAAATAACCCACAAGTTTAAACTTTTATTGGGTACATCCAGGCAGTGCCAGCGGCTTAGTTCAGCCACTCAGCAGGAACTTTATTCTTGTGACAGGGGAGCAGCGTTCTCATTGGAACGAAGGTTCTGTCTTTGTCGTCCGGCATAACACTGACAATAACAGAGCAATCGTTCTTATGAGAAAGCTGTTTTTGGTTTCGAAAATAAAATTCCTGCTGAGTGGCTGAGCTTAGCCGCTGGGACCGCCTGAATGTACCCATTGTTTCTAATTTAATATAATCTCAATTTCTATTATTTATCATAAAAGTAATATTCTAAAAATAGATACCTGTAAAACCGGCAACAACAACCCTTTGAACCGGTAAAATTACAGGTTTCTTCATTACCTTACGAGGCAGTGGAGCTATTTCGCTGCTGTGATTGTACAGCCGCCACATTATTTTCTAGATTTTTGCGACCTGCTCCGGCAGAGCTAGTCGCCACGCATTCGTCAGTAGGTACTAATAGAATAAGCGAATAGTTCACACCCTCGCGCCCTCTGAATGCTCTCCAGAGGCAAAAACCCCCGTTAGTGCACGCGATTTATAGTAAAATACTACTCCCAATATCTCAAGGCCTGACATCATGGTCTATATTATTGATTAAAATTCATGTAATTAACCGCTTATTGTTGCAAGTCACCTCGGACGAGCAAAATTCTCTCTTACTAGTCGAAGAGACGAGCTCGATAGTGAGACAATTTAGGGTAACAGTAAATAAACATTTTATTATTATGTATTTTGACGAGCTGAATCGATATATGCATAAATTTTAACTATTAGCCCTTGGCTTCAGGGTAGAAATCGCATTTAAAGGGTTGAAATTCAAATATCTCGCGAACAAATAGAAAATTCGAGAAAAGTTTCTAACAAATGTTGTAGCCTGTAAAATTAGACGCAAAAAACCACCAGACATTTTTTCTTTATTTTCAACAGTTAATCCTCTAGCGAATTTCAAAGTTTCCAGGGCCGAAAAGGAATGAAAATGCTCGCGGCAACACTGTGAACGCCAAGTGTGAAGGACATCCCTGCTTTAACGTGACGAACGTCTAGAACAGCGTAGCGGTTGTTTTATCGCTGTGTCTAGAATCCCGGTACCGGTTACACTTTTTTTACCGGTAGGTAGTTTTGATGCCGTCACCTATATGACGAACTAGGTACCCGGGATTCAAGCAAATCCCGGTAAAAAATCTAGTCATTGGCGGTTTTTGTTTTATCAAAGTCCAACTTAACCTAACTTTTCATGTTTTTAACTTGTTTTGTTGATGTGTTAACGTAGAGTGGAGTGTTTTCGTGAGTTTATTATTAACGTAAAATTACTTTTGAAATGGTTTTTAATGTAGGACAAACATTTAAAAGTTATAAAGAAGTTGAAGACACTTTGACATGTGAAATGTGCCAGTTTGTGTAACGGCCATTTGCACCCCATAACTCAAGGAATATTTAATCCAAGTGAAGCTTTGAATGTGCCCCTTATAGAAACAGAAGTCACATTGAAAGCTTCACTTAGATCAAATATCCCTTAAGTGATAGCCGTGCAAATGGCCATAAAATACCCAAAATGTGGTACCTATTGTTCTGATTGTAAACTTATAAATAAAAAATGAGAGATACCTATTCATTTTAATTTACATCCTAAACAGTATAGTTACATATATTGCTTGAAGAAAATTAATAAATATCTATTAAATCCGATTATAAACTGCTATATAAAGTGACATCATTTCAAATTCGTTTAAATTCTCAGGGGTTTTCGGGAATAACAACCCCAACAAAGTTTACTATCATCCGATTGCAGATTACTTCTAATCTGGGAAAATCATCATGAATGGGACCAGCATGACAATCAGGTTCAAAGGGGCATTAATGGTACAAAGAATGCTACAACTAATTTCGCTCCCAGTGAGCTACTTTATGGCTTCGGGCCAAAAGTGGAAAATGAGATGAAAATTCTCTCGAATGAAGGAAAAAAAATTGGAAAATATACGTCAGATTAGATTGCCAAAACCAGATACGACAAATCCTCTAAAAAGATGAAGAAGAGATTTGATAGATCTCGCTTAGAAGCAAAGAGATATAAACAAGGCGATATCGTACTAGTTAAAAGAACCATGCTAGTGAGGGGTTTGACCAGTGGAAAGCTAGTACCAAAATACATTGGGCCGGTGTAAATCGTCGAAGCCCTACCGAATGACCGATATAAGATGGTGTCATTTTCCAAGGACAAAAGAAGATTCAAAGGTGTAATCTCAAGTGATAAGCTAAGAATGTTTGTACATGTTGATCTATTATAAATGTCACCCCCTTTTAACTTTTTCATTTGACATTTTCGACAAAAGTGTCAAATACTGTAGGTGGTAGACGCTTTTTACTCATTGGGCGTCGACCGGTGAGATACCACCATGCCAGAATTGAGTAGCGCTAAGTGGTATCACCACGTTCCGCTACTGCGCTGGCAGTCCGGTTCCAACAATGAGTAACAGATAGCATGACGGCGCCTCCAGGATCAAAATATTCCGGAGGTAAAATACCCGACCACTCGGATCTCCGGGCGTCGGGTGATCCTGGGGGTCCTTCATGTAAAGATATAAAGAGAAGATCAAAAACTCAACTCAGAATTGATTTTAGCAATATAAGAGGAATAAGTACAAATATGAATTCAGTTCACCAACATCTTGAAGAACAAAGACCTGACATCCTTGTTCTCACTGAAACTAAAATCAGTTCTGCAACACCTATTGTGAACTATCTTTATCCCGGCTAAGACCTACACCACCGATTTCGACATAATTTTGGGATCTGTGTGTACATTAAAAATGACCTTTCATGTCATCGAGAGGAGAAGCTAGAACCAGCGAACCTTGATATCATATGGCTAAAATTCACCTCAAAGTCATCGATCAAGTTTATCTGCTGCCTCTACCGACCGCCAAGTAACACCGATTACCAAAACTTTTTCGCGACATTATCCGAAAGCTGTGATAGTGTGATAGTATACAGTCAAACTATCCACAGGCGGAAATTGTCTTTTTAGGCAATTTCAACGTCCACAATATACCCTGGCTGAAACACCACAACAAAACAGATAACGAAGGCAGAGAAGCAGAAGCTTTTGCCATAAGTTGTGGTCTAACGCAGCTTGTCGATGAACCTACCCGTATCTCAGAAAGGGGCGAATATGCAGCGCTTTTAGACTTGTTCCTAACCACCAATCCTGACTCGTACACAATTCAAGTAGATGCTCCACTTGGTTCGTCCGATCATAAACTTATAATAACAAAGTGCGAAATGCTCATCCCACCAAGCCTACAACCACTTCCTCGTAAAATGTGGCACTATAAATCGGCAAAATGGAATGACTTAAAACAGTATTACCTGGATTTTCCATGGCAAGAGGTTTGCTTTAAAACAGCTGATCCCACTATTTGCTGTAATGAAATAACACAAGTAATCTTATCTGGAATGGACGCATATATCCCACATACGACTAAACGTAGAGCTAATGCAAAACCTTGGTTCAACAGCCAGTGTCAAACGGCTGTACAGAAAAAACACAGAGCATATAACCTTTGGAAACGACAACAAACCGCTCAAAACCACACAGAACTTATAGAAGCCAGAAATAGTTGCAAAATTACTATTGACTCCGCTAAAGAAACATACAGTCAAAGAATAAAAAACAGGTTGCTGAATTGTCCAAGTAGTTCTAGGTCTTTTTGGTCTCTTGCAAAAGCTGTTGGATCTAACTTCACCAAGTCATCCATACCACCACTTCTTACAGATAAAAATAATCACTTAGCCACAACATCAGAGGAAAAAGCCAATATGCTTGCCCAAATGTTTTCCTCCAACTCCAACCTAACAGTGCCAAACGGAAAAACTCCACCATTCATTGAAAGGGTTTCCCATAGTATGCCAGAGGTACCCTTTTGTCACAGAGAAATACGAAAATCCCTAAAAAAGCTGGATACAAACAAAGCAATGGGTCCGGATGGCATTCCCGCAATAGTACTCAAAAATTGCGCCAACGAACTGACCCCAACTTTCGCAAAATTATTCAATTTGTCTTTCAGGCAAGGAGTATATCCATCATCATGGAAGTCTGCCGCAGTACAACCCATTCCAAAGAAAGGAAAAAAAGACAGATCCGTTAAACTATAGACCAATTGCTCTACTTCCGGTGATATCAAAAGTAATGGAAAGAGTTGAGAACAATCACCTAACCAAGTACTTGGAAAAGTACAAAATTATCAACGATAAGCAATACGGATTTCGAAAATATAGGTCAACTGGCGATTTACTTACATACGTCACTCACTTATGGCAAAAAGCGATTGAGTTGCGGGGTGAAACAAGAACAATTGCCTTAGATATATCTAAAGCATTCGACAAAGTTTGGCATGAAAATCTGCTCAACAAGCTCAAAGCAATGGGATTATCGCCGAAACTTTGCACTTGGTTTGAAAGTTACCTAAAGGACAGATCCATTTATGTTGCACTGGATGGCCAGAACTCCAACTCTTACCAAATAAATGCTGGTGTGCCACAGGGAGCAATCCTTTCGCCAACTCTTTTCCTGATTTACATAAATGACCTCATAGATAAAACAGTAAATCCACTTTATTGCTTTGCAGACGATGGCAATGTAGTCTCCTCACTCATACCACCCACAGGTCTTTCCGCACGTGAATTCCATCATCTTAGACTAACTCAAATATTGCAGATAAATAACGACCTAGAGATAATAGAGGACTGGGGTAACAAAAACCTTGTACAGTTCAACGCGCAGAAAACCCAAGCAGCTCTGTTTTCAAAAAAGACCAGCACCGGTGAGCCAAACATCATGCTATCTGGAAGTGCTGTCACATTACAGAGTCAGTTGAACATCTTGGGGGTTACTGCAGAGACCAACATGTCTTGGCACAGTCACGTGGCAGATATTGCTAAAAGGGCCTCCCAAAAGCTGGGGGTGCTATTTCGTACAAGACATCTGTACACACCAAGCCAATTGCTGACACTCTACAAAGCCCAGATTCGACCAACTATGGAGTACTGCTCACATATATGGAGTGCAGCACCCAAACATACCTTAATGCTTTTGAATACCGTGCAAAAACGAGCTATCAAGCTGATCAATGACCCCGCACCTACTCGTAACTTGGATGGTCTCGAACATCGCAGATCTGTGGGCGATTTATCTCTCTTCTACAGGTACTATCACGGAAAATGCTCTGAAGAGTTGGCACGTATGATTCCACCGAGAGTAGCACCTACCAGGCGAACCCGTCAAACAGACGGTAACCATGAACTTACCGTCAAACTAGAGGCACCAAGAACCTCATTATATCAGAATTCATATCTCTGGAGAACAGCATCGCTGTGGAATAAACTCCCTGCGACGGTTTTCCCTGCAGGTTACAACCTGAACCGTTTCAAGACCAACATACACCGACATTTCCGCGCGCTTGCCGCTTCTCGAGCGTGATAGGACATTTCCTTGCGAGTGCGCATATCCGTAAAAAAAAAAAAAAAAAAATACAAAAGTTTCAAGAAATTGTCGAAAGTTTTTAACTAAGTCAGTTTCAGCTATACAGGGGGCGTCAAAAAAATGTAGCAGCGTAAAATTATATTTTTTTAAATGGTACACCCTGTATATTGTGTGCTTATTTGTTAGTCCTTTTTAACCCTATTTCAACGATATACCTATGGTTTGATGTGTCTATCTTCAATAGTTATAAGGAAAAACATGAAAACCCCTTTCAAGGTTTCATATTGAAATAAGAAAAATTATACCATTTAAGTTTTAGAGAATTTTTTTTATAAACAGTTTATTGATCAAATTTTATTCATAAATATACAAGGTGAAATATTATAATAAATCCAGATGTCTAAGTTATTATTATTATTTAAAAAAAAAAAATAACATGAGAAACCTAGGAAGGGATTTTCGCGTTTTTCCCACTAATCTAAAAAATAAATGGATAAACAATCATACGGCTTGATTGGCAAAATTTGTACAAAAATTTGGGGTCAATATTCTAGGAACAGTTGTGCAACGGAACAGCCTAACGCCTGCGCAGTGTCTTATCTTCCGAACAACTGTTCTAAATTTTGAATTTCCTTCATCCACTGCGCACGCTCACAGCTGTCCCAGTCAGTTGTTTTTGTTTACATTATGACCTCGTAAATTAGCAGCATTAGAAGCGTTCTTTGTTTATCCATTTATTTTTGAGATCAGTGGTTTTTCCCTATAACTATTGGAGATAAACCGAGAGATAAATATATCAAACCGTATATCGTTGAAATCAGGTTGAAGGGAACTAGCAAATAAGCGCACAATATACAGGGTGTTCCATTTAAAAAAATATAACTTCACACTGCTGCACTTTTTTGACGCAACCTGTATGCCTAAAACTGACACAGTTAGAAACTTTTGACAATTTCTTAAAACGTTTGTATTTGACACTTCTGTCAAAAACGTCAAATGAAAAAGTTAGCAGGGGGTGACATTTATAATAGATCACTCTGTACCTCAAACTGACGAGTAATAGAAAAATAAAAAAATAATTACAAAAAAAAATTGAAATAAAAATAATCTAGGATATTTTTTTCGTACTGTAATTTATGGTCTAGTGGACCACTTCATTAAGGGAGGTGCAGTGAACCACTCTTTGGTTATCTAGTCTATCACAAGTACCGAAACCAACTACATAATCGGTAAATTGCCTAGTGTGCTAATGACTCAGTGTGTTAATTTAACATGTAAATAGCTTAGTGTGCTAATGACCCAGTGTGTCATTTTAACATGTTAATAGTCTAGTGTGCTAATGACCCAGTGTGTCAATTTAATATGTTAATAGTCTAGTGTGCTAATGACCCAGTGTGTCAATTTAATATGTTAATAGTCTAGTGTGCTAATGACCCAGTGTGTCAATTTAACATGTTAATATAATGACCCAGTGTGTCAATAGGCTCCTTGCATCAAATTTTTTTATTGCTGATTTCGATAGTCCATGAAAAATAAGTCAATACGTGTTTTTACTTTTTCTTCTTAGTCAAAAATTGACGGAGATTCAACACTTTGAAATATGCCTATGACGTCACTTATCTAATAGATTAGTGACGTTGCACATGCTCAGTATATCTATATATACAAAACTTAATATTTGAATAACTTCCGGAATAATCATATTTGGGCGAAATAAAAAAAAGTAACGTTTTTTTTTCGATTTCCTACAGTTTCCAATAAACAAAAATCAATTCGATTTTCCATGCAAGTACCGTATTGCACCTGTTATTAGCCTAGTGTGCTGAGGATCCAGTGTGTCCGGATAGTGATGTTTACAGCTCAGTTTGCTGAAGTCTTGGTGTGCCGAACCAACTAGCATACCTGTAGCCGAGTTTCTCAAATGGACTAGTGGTCTAGTGTACCTCAGACGAAATTGACGAAAATAATAATTTACCGAAAGTTCTGCAGACCACATAGGTACCCTTAGTTTTAAGTTTAGGTTTAAAGTTTAAGGACTTTAAATAAGTGTTCAGGACGAGGACGACATATTTGTCAGGATAGCCGAATGTGAACCGAACTTATAAAAGTAACACCATTTTTTTTTTGTATTTTTCCTATACTGTTAAAACATGTTTAATATTGATCTTTCCCACGCCGCGGTAATACGAAAGGCCAGTTGTGGTGCCTACCGAGAAGGGACGATTTTATGGCATGAGTCATAAAACGGTCCCTTGGTATTTTTCCTTTCTGTTGCAGAAAAGTGATGATCTCTTTTGTAAGAATAGTTAGTGAACCTGGAGACTCGTTTAGAGGCGGTTAAATCAGAATATTTCTTCTAAATCTTATATAGTAATTTTTCAAACTTTCTTTTTGTATCTGGAAGTTGGAAATTACATGCTTCAAAAGGGTCTTTATCAATTATTCATAAAAAAATATTTTTAGGCAAAAATCAAGCATATTGGCCTTCTTTCAAAGTTTTTAGCTCTAGAAGCTTTTCTATAAATTGCTTTTGAAATGAATCACTCAATAAATTAACAAAATCCAAGTCCAGGCCAGGTCTTCGAAATTTTAAAAAGTAGAGTGTTTTTCCAATTACAAGATTTAATCTAGAATAACATTATTTAAGATTGGAACAAGTTTTGATAAGCTTTGAAGTCAAGATAAATTCGTTATTGCCTCCTGAGTTTGCGAAGAAACATAAATATTGTCAGGGTCAGTCACCGAGCAGATGCCTTCATGAATTCACATTGAAGTCACCAAAGATGCAAAATCCTTACCTGAGGTAAACATAAACCCAGCATTATTCCACAAAACCCAAAGAGATTCCCTAGAGCCGTTTTGGTGTCTATTGCAATCTCTATCCATTTGTTAAGGGTTTCCGTTCTTTCCGAATCGTCAGCACAGGTCAGTATACTAACAGCTACGAGAAGTTTCAGGCACTCTGCCCTGAAAAAAAAAAATATTTAATTTCTATTTTTATTCAACTCCCAGTTTTAACAAAGGGTAAATCTTCCTCAATATTAATAATTATGTTTCATCCTCTCAAAAATTGTTCTCATCAAAGGATCTACTCGCCTTTCTAATAAGTCCAACCTAAACTGCGCACCATGTGGCAACGTACAAAGCTCGATACCGCTACACATTTTCGATTGATGGTTTTCCGGTTCGTACTTGCCAAACATCAAGTCCAAATCGGTTCTCGTTAGATGATTGGCTAGAATCCGGGAACCTGATTCGGACAAAGTCATTTTGATTCGTCGCAGTGCTTGGGCGTCTAGGGGTTTGTTTTCGTTGGAGGGTAAAAGGAGGGTTTGGAAGTTTTCAAGATCGAATCTAAGATTAGAAAGCAAAAGTAATTACTTATCTTATGTATAGAATTTGAAGAAATGAAGTTTACCTGCTATTGAATTTAATCGGTACTATTTCTGGTAATCGCATCAACTTTTCTTCAATTTCCAAATAGTCAACTTCGAAATTTTTCAATGTTGTCGACGACTCTGATGTCGTCATATTATTATACCTTGGATTTTTGATTATCACACCTGCAAATAAATATGATATATTGTTATTAACTGGTCAAATGAAAGAAGAGAGAATTCCTATCTAGTGGAATGGTGAAAAAGAAGATGCGACTTATCCATAATCAAGCAAATATAGAAGAAAAAGAGTTCAAACCAGAATATACATACAGAAGAAATGATACCTGTTATATGATAATGATATACATAGACAAAGTATAACTTTCTGCACTTGTTAGGTAAATAATGATCACCAAGCTCAAGACGACAAAGTAAAATATCAATTTTTGAGATTTTTAGTGAAAGTTCTTATAAATATTATCTATTCATTACAAGATAACACAACAATATCAAAATAATTTGACGTGTTATGAGTTTTTGAAAACTTCTTTACCTTTTGGAACATCAACCGTATCTCCTGCAGCTGAACTCAGAGCAGAATCGCCTGATCCGTTACCGGAATCCGAACCGCTCGCATGATACGAAGTCACTCTTTGCAGGCTTCCGTGCGAGGGGAATCCCAAAGCTGCGGAGTCCACCGACTCTGCTCTGGCTAATCCCGGAATGCGAGAGGGTTTTGGGGGCGGCGACTCGAAGCCCGAATCTCCTGCGTCGGCCCCCGAACGCCTTTCTGCGCAGGGCGATAGTGTCGGGTCGCTGGTTATCCTAAAAACATTCCACAATTAGGTACCTATATGTAAAAACAAATAGTCTCCATCCATGGTCTCTTCATAGTTTCCATGGGATTTATTTTTCTTTTCTCCCTCAAAAGAAACTTCCCTTATTCTGATTAATCTGATTTCACTTCACAAGTACAATCAACAAGCAGTATGAACATAAACTACCAAAAAAAAAAAAAATTACAAAATAAATTCTTACCTACAATGTCTACCTAAAGTGTTTGCACTATTAGACAAAGACAGTCTAGTACTGTGTGTGGTGCGTGGTAACGAGTGAGTGGAAAATTTGAGTCCAGAACTAACGCTTTCTGAGCCTACTGATCTGGTCATCAGAGGCGACTGAATGACACCGTCTGCGCTGTTGCACTTTTCTTGGGACATTCGGTTGGCCTCGGCAGGGGTGAGCGATTGGGATCGTTGTTTTTTCGATGGTAACCTGGAACGAAATAAATTTAGATATGAAAACGTCTCAAAAACTTACACGTCACGACGTTTTATAAATGTCCGTTAAATTCACAAAGAACATCCAGTGGACTTTTTTCTATAGTGCGAATGTCACAACGTCTAATAGAAGTCGAAAAATGAGGTTGTACCAAAAACGTCTCTTTTATGACGTTTATGCAAATGGAGCCACCTTCAAGGATGGTAACGAACTCTCATACATTACACCCCACACAACAATACCATATTTTATTAGGGACTCGACGAGTACTTTGTAAATTGAAATCAGTTATTTTTTGTTTATTATTTCTCTGAGGATGTAAAATTTATGTATAAGCTTTCTTTTGTTCGAGGCTAACTTCAATACATGAGGTCCCCATTTAGGGTGTTTATCAATGATAACTCCAAGATATTTTGTTGAGTCTACTTCTAGCAATGTGGAGTCTAGGTTAATGATGTCAAGCTCTTTAAAAGACGGGCGATTGGAAGATGTAAGGGAAAAGGCTATATATTCAGTTTAATTTACTAGCGTTCAATGTTCGTTTGAAAGAGTCCAGCCATGTTTTTATATTTGAAATACCATGTTTCGCCGATTCCTTCACTTGAGCTCAGGTGTCTCTTACAAATGTAACGGCTGTATCATCAGCATATGGTATGATCGATCCATCCTTTATATTCATGTTTGTTAGGGAATTTATATACGTAATGCAAAGTACTGGACCCAGGATGGTACCCTGAGGGATGTCGATGTCAATCTTAACGATTTGGGGGTTTACTTCGGGTGTCCCCTATTTTTACCACCTGCTGCCTGTCTGTCAGGAAGTCTTTAAAGACATCCAACACGGTCCCCCCCACCTCATAGATATTCAGGATATCCAAGAGGTGTAGGTAGCATATCGAATGCCTTTGCAAGGTCTAGGAATACAGTGAGACACTTCCTGTTCTTATCAAGGCATGTCGTCATCTGGGTTGTTAATTCATATATGGCATGTTCAGTACCAAGCCGGTTACTAGAGCCAAACTGACTTTTCGAAAAAATATCATGAGATTGAAAGAAGCTGACCAATTGGTTTTTAAGACACTTTTCGAAAAATTTTGAAAAATTATAACATTTATTGGGACCTTGCCTGCACTGAATATCAAATTTATGATATGGATTAAGGGTTTTATAAGATGAAGATGAGCCAGTTTTATTGTTTTGGTACTTATACCGACTGGAACAGAGGCGCAATTATTTTTTAAAGAGCTTATGTGCTCTATTATTTAATTCTTACTCACCGGTTTTAAAAATATAGATGAATTTAGTGATGAGCGATATATCACGAACTGTGATTTAATCACTGATATCTAAAAATCACGGATCACGACTGCTACCAAAGTTCTATAAAAAACGTGACGTGACCACGACTACGTAGGAAACTAATTTCTTGTCTTTGAAGAGTAATTTCTTCTTTTTGTAATTACAATTTCCTCAAATTCCATAGTTGTCATTTACCGCCGCGATATTTGGTAGATTTTAGCTGCCAGATATCTCGACGACGACCGCTAGTTAGGGCTTCGCGAGAAAACAAGACTAGTCTTGACTTGACTTGACGTTCAAGACCAAGACCAAGACCAAGACTCTCTCTCAAAACTCTTGTCTTGGTCTTGGTCTTGAAAAGAAAAATCGACTCAATATTTATAAAAATATGCAAATTCCTATATCTTCTCTTAATGTCTTTTAATTAAATCAATTCATCAAGTTTATTATTTTTTGAAATTCACGAGAAGGTATTATAGATTTTAAAAATACATACATACAATATAGTGTAGGTATCATTCATTTACACAGGACACATCGATATTTTCCTATCCCTACTTAATACAATATCTAAGTATTGGAATTTCCAAAGATAATTCATAACTAACTTACTAACCCAAACTAACACAAACTCCACATCTTACCCAAATTAACCCAAATCCAATTATTGTGAATGGACCAATCAAATTCAAATGATGTATGTGACTGTGTGAGGGTTCTCGAAAACCTTTCTCTGGCCTGAATGCTCAGGTAGGTAAGTTAGGTTTAATCTATGGTTCAAAAAGAAATTTATTCTTTTCCTCGGTACAGAATGGCAATTTTATGATGTGTTTGTCAACTTTCCGGTTCCGTTAATAAAAATTATAATTTAAGAATTGATGTGTCATGCGGTATTTTTTGACATGAAACGCTCTCGGTGGTAAAAATAGCCTGTGCAGAAGACCAAATGCATGGTCGAAACGTCGGCATAATTTTTCCAGAAAGGGAGGTTTATTTTTTATTTTTGAAGTCCTAAACCCATTATCTCTGCTCGGCGGTTGGATGTTATGTATATATTAAAAATTTGGTATAAATTTTTTTCAAGACCAAGACCAAGACTATCAAGACCAAGACCAAGACTGAGCCAGTCTTGTCTTGGTCTTGAAACATCAAGACCAAGACCAACACCAAGACCGCATTTATTTTTCGAGACCAAGACCAAGACTGGCCAGTCTTGGTCTTGGTCTTGCGAAGCCCTACCGCTAGTAGATAATAGCATATTTCTGCATCAGTTTCAGTAGTTCGAAAATATATTAAGATATTCAAAAATCACGGTAACAGTTAACAGTGTGATTTGAAAATCACGGTATCGCTCATCACTAGATGAATTTAAGCTGAAGTTAATTTTTGATGCTGTTCCTGGGGGTGTAATATTACTGAGCATTTTCAAACCAACGTTAGTGAAATAGTCATTACAATAGTTCGCCATGTCCTTGTCGGTCAAGAATGTAATACATATTATCATCCTTTATCTGTAATTTATTACTGGTACAGTAGAACCCCGATTATCCGAGTCGCAATTATCCGAGCTCCGCGGATTAACCGAGCCAGTCTAAGGACCAAAAAAATCTTGATTATCCGAGGTACGCACGTCAATACTCCGTATTAACCAAGTTTCTAGAATATACAGGGTGTTTTTTTTATTGACACACCCGACCTACAGCCTTTACCTTTACAGGTAGAAAAAAGGGGTAAATGCAAAAATTGTACAGTTTTGGCTGAATTTTCAGAAACCATGGTCAGAAACAAAATTTGAATGTCCAGGAATTAACAGGAATTAGTAATGTTACATAAGCAGAATCTGGACTCGTCAGAAAAAAAAAGAACGTTCGACCAGTCCACTATACTCCAGTCAGCGTGTTTCCTAGCGAACTCTAATCTCGCAACGCGATGTTTCCTAGTGAGGCTCTAATATCGTACTCCCTCAAACGATTTCTAACTATTTGTAGACAGATATGGGTATTTCAAGCTGCTAGCAATTCGTTTTGGAGATGCCACGCAGTGCAATGTCGGGTTCTCAATGCAATTAACGTCAAAAAATTGTCATCTCTAGCGGTTGTTACTCTTCGCGATCCCTGTCCTGGTCTTCGAGAGTATTATCCAGTTTCTCTGTGACGCGCTAATACTCTTGAGATTGTACTCTGATTAGTACCCAACAGGTTAGCCACATATCGTTGACTCCTCCCTTGCTCAATCAGGGTAATTGCCCTTACGGCCTCCACTCCACTCAAATTACGTGTTAAACGTTGGTTTTCATTCAGAATTAAGATGATCAAAAAAGAGAATGGCGTACCAAAACACTTTTCTCAATAATAACCAGCTAAACTTGGCCAAACTTATTGTGTAGAAATTTGTATTCATTGTACCTTTATTACGTGGCACAAAACGGCACTGCCACTTCGTTACCCGCAAAACCGTTTGAAAGGCAAATAATAAACTCTGAGGAAGTGGGACAGTGAATGGATAACTAAAACAGAGAAATAGAGAGGGTTGGTTGGTGGCTGAAATCTAGAAACGTGATTTCGTGTAAAGGGTTGCCGACTAGCTTCCAATGCGGAGAGGGGTGTGGGTCAATTAAATAACTAAATATAGAGCGCCACCTGCTTTTTCCCTGTAGTACACGAAATCAACCGATATAACGAAAGCAGGAAACTTCTACGGACCTATAGCAACACAACCTGAAATATAAACGTAAACAAGAAGGGAGGACAAAAGTGAAACGCTTTGCTACAATCAGGTACGGGTTTCAATTAGATCCAGAAATGTAAACCAGAACAGGTTGATTCTAGAGCAGGTTCGAAGTGGGTTTTCCGAACGCCCTGGAACACTGAAAATTATTTAGACTGGAACCAGACCAGGACAAGAAAAGAAATCGTCTAACCATATGTTCTTACAATAGTATTTATAATAATTATTAATTACACTCAACTTGAGTCCCTAAATAAAAACAATAAAGAGTAATAACAATTAACAGCAATAATACCTGAAATACTAATTAATAAATAAGCTCACTTAATGCAGTACCTTCGTAAATGGCCATTTAACCCCAGTGTACAAGTATTTCCTGTATTCAGTGCAGCATGTATTTATCGGATAGTTATTAGAGAAATATAGATAAATGATTAAAGTTGAAGTAACAATAAATAGCCTGAGGGGCAAATTTAATAATATGGAATAATGTAGATGGTCTAGGTAAATACTTAAAATTGAAGTACCTAACAGTACATAAACTGAATGGTAAATTTCATATAATAAAGGTAATAATTAATTGAAACTGAAATAACAACATCTAATCTGAAGGGTAATATTGTAGTAGAACTGCGTTGTTGTGGTGATTTACTCCAACAAGGGGTTGGTAAGGTTTGATATTAAGACAATACAACACACTTATCAAACCTGAGTAGTCCCTAATCTTTAGAGGGGATCCTGAAGGATTGGATCAATATCTCCCAATGTTTCCGATGGCCTGGAACTGGATCAGGATCGCGACAAGAAACAACTGGCCCTGGGCACTGAAGTTCAGTAACTCGGAGTCACTAAAGCTTCCAATGGTCCAGAGGAGGCTGAAGATTGGAGGTACTACTTGAAACATACAGTAAGCTCAACGTCTAACTCTTTACTCAAGTTAAGGACTAAGCGTGACGAACAAAAGGTGA